TATATGTTTTTAAGTAGAAAATTGCATAGGAACAGTGCTAATGGGCATCCTTATATCATTCCTGAAGAAATCTGTAATACTTCACTATTAAATGTTTGTAAGTTATGAAGTAGTATATAAAGAAGTTGCACATGCTGTTTTCTGAAGCACTATTAATGTGTGTAGAATTTTATTAAATGTTTAATCTACATCTCTTGAGAGGGTCGTAAAGTTTTTCTCCTTTGAATTGTTAGTGTGGCAAATTGAAGGAATACATTTTTTAACATTTAAATCATTCTTATATTCTGAGATAAACATAAATTAGGCATGTTTTATTTATTTTTAAATTCCTTACTAGATTTAGTTTGCTTTTGTAGGTGATAGATTTATATTTTATTTAGAATTTTTGTTCCTAAGAGACATTGGTTGGTAGTTTTTCTTGCTCATGCTGCCCTTATGAAGTTTTGGGGTCTTGGCTTCCTTGTTGTGTGCCGTGGAGTCGGTTCCAGCTCATAGCGACCCTTTACAGGGTTTCCGAGGCTGTAAATCTTTACGGGAGCAGAAAGCCTCATCTTTCTCCAGCGGAAGAGCTGGTAGTCTCGAACTGCTGACCTTAAGGTTTGCAGCCTGATTCATAACCACTATGCTACCAGAGCTCCTTTGGCTTCCTAGAGCTGCCATAATAACAACTGGCTTAAAACAACAGAAATTTATTCTCTCAGCATTCTGGAGGCCAGAGACTAACATTAGGAGTTAGGAGAAGTCATGCTCCCTCTGAAAGCTCTAGGAAAGAATCCTTCCTTGCTTTCTCCTAGCTTATGGTGGTTGCTAGTATTCCTGGACATTTCTTGGCTTGTAGCTACATCACTCTAGTTTTTGTCTCTGTCATCACATGACCACCTTTATATGTGTTTATCTCCAAATTTCCCTCTGTTTATAGGACACCAGTCAGTTACTGGATTTAGGGCCCACACTAACCCAGTGTGACTTCATTTTAACTTGATTACATCAGCAAAGATCTTATTCCTAAATAAGATCACATTCTGAGGGCCTGAGTGGGCATGGATTTTTGAGAGATATTATTCAAATTCAGAGTACTGGTGTGTTGCAATAGGATAAGCACTGTACTGCTAACTGCAAGCTTGGTGGTTCATTCCCAAGCCACTCCATGAAAACCCTATACTAGGTCAATGTGAGTCGGAACTGACTCTAGAGCACTTAGTAACACAATAACAAGTTCAAACTCATTCAATTGTTACCAAGATTTTACTAGTGTTATATAAGTCTTTCACTTCAAGGAACTACATAAAGATTCATAACTTCCCATTTTAAATCATTTTGTTGTTAAGTGATTTAAGTGTTGTTAAGTGCTGTCAATAAGGTTGTGACTCAGAGGGACCAAAAAGTTTCCAAGGAGGGCCTGGTTAATTTGAACCACTGACCTTGTGGTTCAAACCAACCTTGCAGTCCAGTGCATTAACCTGCAGTGTTAAGCCACTAATGACCCTATAAACACGGGACTATTGGATGGTTTAAAATCATGAAAAGTGTTTGCTAGGTTCGTATCTTTTTACCATACTAATTCAATCTTATTCTTATTAAATGTTTTACCATACTTATTCAATCTTATTCTTATTAAATGCCCTCAAGTCTTTTGCAACTCAATGAACTTGTGTAGGGTTTCCGAGGAGCGGTTGATAGGTTTGAACCACTGACCTTGCGGTTAGCAGTCCATTGCTTATTCTACAGTACCATACCATGATAATCTGAGAAGCTGGATTATATAAAGAAGAACATGAATCAGAATTGGAGGAAGACTCATCAACAACCTGCAATATGCCAATGACATAACTTTGTTGAAAGCAAAAAGGACTTGAAGTACTGTGCAGTATGGAATTGCACATCGATGTAAAGAAAACAAATCCTCATAGCTGGACCAACAAACAACATGATAAATGGAGAAAAGCTTGAAGTTGTCAGATTTCATTTTGCTTAGATTCACAATCTATACTCATAGAAGCAGAAGTCAAGCTATCAAAAGACGTATTACATTAGGCAAATCTGCTACAAAAGACCTTTTTAATGTGTTAAAGAGCAAAGATGTCAGTTTGAAGAATAAGATGCACCTGATCCAAGCCATGGTATTGTCAGTTGCCTCGTTTGCTTGTGAACATTGAACAATGAATAAGGGAGACCATGGAAGAATTGATGCATTTTAATTATGGTGTTGGTAAAGAATATTGAACATACCATGGTCTACCAGAAGAACAAACAAATCTGTGTTAAGAGCAGTACAGCCACAATGATTCTAGAAGTGATGATGGTAAGACTCCGTCTCTCATACTTTGGACATGTTGTCAAAAGAGACCAGTCCCTGGAGAAGGGCATCATGCTTGGGAAAGTGGAGCACAAAAAGCATACAGTGATGAATGATTTACATATTTAACTAATTTTTTGACCTTAGAACTTAGCCCAGCATCATTTAGCATCTCGTTTAAACCTCATAACAAGGAGCCATTTTAGCAATGCTTAATTATAGGTGATTCTGGAGTTGTGATGTGGTGCTGTGTGTTAATGTGCTGGACTGCAAAGTCAATTTGAACTGCAAGGTTGGCGGTTCAACCTCATCTCCTCAAAAACCCTATATAGGGCTGCTATGGGTCAGAACCAACTTGGTGGCACTAAACAACAACAAAATACTAACTTAAGGACTTCTAATGCTGTAGGATAAGCATTGGATTGTGAACCACAAAGTTGGCAGTTCAGACCCACCCAGCTGCTCTTCAGAAACCCTGTACAGGTTTGCTATGAGTCAGAATCAATTGGAAGGCATTTAACAATAACAATTACAAAGTTTACGTCAAACATAATAAACTAAACCCCTCAGACTAGCAAGAAAACACATTCTCTACCATTTTCTCATTCACTGTGTATCTCTTTTTTGCTTTGATATTTTATTGCCTGTGATTCTTGGGAGCATAACAATTACTATACAGCCTTGGGTCTACAAAACTATGTACTATGTAAAAAAAAAAAATTACATGATTTTTCAGGTAAATTGGGCTGTGTGTGAAAGTTGGTTTTCTCCTTTTGCAGACTTTAGAACTTTATGTAAAATGTAACTGCTTATATATAAGACCTTGTGTGGCACTGTGGGATTAAGCACTGGATGGCAAGGTTGGTTTGAACCACAAGGTCAACGGTTCAAACTTATCAGTCGCTCCTTGGAGACCCTATACAGGGTTGCTATGAGTCGGAACCAACTCTACGGCACTTAACAATAACAATGTGCTTATATATATATATCAGTGTTAGTATAGTAAACAAAATGTACAGGACATTTGAACAAAAGCCACCTGCTGTCAAGTCAATTCCAACTTTTAGTGACTCTTTAATGTAAGTATAACTTCTCAATAGGGTTTCCCCAGTAGCAGACTGACATCTTTCTCCTATGGGTTTGAACTGCTGACATTTTGGTTAGAAGTTCAGCTAGCACTCAACCACTGTGCCACCAGGGGGCAGAATGTTTAACCAACTTTAAGTCAACCTTATGGGTAGTTGTTTTTAGATTCTCGATCATGTAAATATTTTCCGCAAGAACTGTGAAGCTTATGGAAAATATTTACATGATATTATCTTAATTCCACCAGTAGAAAATGCTGAAGGAGATGAAGCTCTATTTACAATGAAGTGGCCTCAGTTCAATGTATATTGCAACATTACTGCATAGTGAACCTTTAAAATGTTTTATAGAAAGAAAACTTCAAAAAGTGGTAGACTTAACATCTTCATTCAATGTTAAATTATATTTTTCTCAATTTTCAGATTTTATTCATCACATTAATGACACAGACTCTGTCCTGAGTACCAATGATAGCAACCCTGGTAAGTAAGTTGTAATTTAGAGTTTAGTATTTTGCTTTATTCGCCATCTTGTTCCCAAAGGGATTTCAGATCGATCTATGACTGTTTTAGATCAGTGATGAGCAGAAGCTAATCATTCCGTATTATTATGCTAATTGAGCCACTACTAACTGGTGGCATTCAGTGTGTGTAAACAAACAAAACCTCCAATCAGTTAAGCAATATTGAATTCACATTATACAACTCATAATTTTAGCTCACAGTTCTAGTGTGCATATTTGCCTGTGAATAAGTGATAAATATTTTTTGAGAACCTACTGCTAATCATTTTGGGTGATGATTATTTTCCCTTTTGAAACATAGTTTTCTGTTTTTAACTTAATTTTAGATATTTGTTATTTTAGTCACTAATACATTTGCTGTTGTTGCTATGGGCCGTGGAGTTGGTTCCAACTAATAGCGACCCTCCATAGGGTTTCCGAGGCTGTAAATCTTTACGGGATTTACAGAAAGCCTCATCTTTCTCCCATAGAACAGCTGGTAGTTTCGAACTGTTGACCATAAGATTAGCAGCCAGATTCGTAACCACTACGCTACCAGAGCTCCTTACTGATATATAGAATATGTAACTATCATTTGTAACCTAAAGAATAATTTCCTAATGATGAACAAAGGTTAGGGAGTATGGAAAAATAACTTGAAGCTTTGACCAAAAAAAAAAAAAAATTTCTTAGAAAACTTTCCTTTGATTATTTATTAAAATAAATTCTTGAGGCCTTGGATTTATAAGTCTGATGGAAGGGGAGGGAAAGGAGTAGTCAGTGCCTAGGGTACACTGAACTGTTCAGGATGATGGTTGAACAACATGTAAAGATAGTTGAAATGGTGAATGTTTTATTGCATACAGATTTACCATAATACAAAATAAAATACACAAAAAGCAATGTAACCTTGCCCCCCCCGCCCCCCCAAAAACCCCACAGAGGAAATAGAAGCAAATACTGTTGTGAATGATGATGCTTGAAAGAGATTGTAATCATTGCAATGAAAGGATGGTGTGAAACCCATGTTCTCCCATGTAAAATATCACTCAATTCACAATAAAAACTTAAAAAAAAAAAAAAGGCAATGTAACCTTGTTAACTAACCATGCTGTTAACCTTGAATATCACCTAAAGCTTTAAATTAAATTGATACCATTTTTATGTAGGTACACACTCATCACTAAGAGGACAATTCAACAAATTCTTTTTAAGCCTTTTATGTGTCAAGAACTGGTTGACATTCTAGGAATATAATGAATAAACAGATTAAAGTTCTAATATAAAGCATGCATTCTATCATTTACTATTCAGTGTAATGTTGCCCCTTAATCACTCTTGATTATAGTAGTACATGAGAGTACTATGAAGTAAAATAGAGCTTTTTTTATTTTAACATCTTTATGTGTGCTCTGTTATATCCGTTGTTACTCATAACTTGTAACCTCTCTTTTATCATTTTTTTAAACCTATTGTGAATTGAGTGAAGGTTTACAGAGCAGATCATCAGTTTTACATTCAACAAATCATATACTTCATTTCATTTCAGTGAATACAGTCCTCTCCGTGTAACAACAGTTATCCCACCACTTCCCTGTGGTTCTTATTTACATTCTACCCTCCCTCCCAACCCTTCTGAACTTTTGTTGCTGTTAAGTGCCATCGAGTCAGTTCTGACTCATAGCAACCCTGGTTAGGGTTTCCAGAATCCTGGTGTGGTGCTGTAGAATACACACTAGGTCACAAGATCAGTGGTCAAATCCACCGGTCACTCTTTAGAAACCCTGTACAGGGTCGCTATGAGTCAGAAGTGACTCAGTGGCACTTAACAATAACAACATAAGGTTTCCTAAGAGCAGCTGGTGAGCTTGAACTGCTGGCCTGCCGTTCAAACTGACCATGCTGTTAAGCGGTTCTCCTACAAGAGGACTCCTTCTGAACTTTGTCCTTAGGTTAATGTTGCCCTTTTGATCTTGAATGGTTCTAAATGTTTTATAACAGCTCTGTAAAGTAGATAGTACTTTTATCCCCACTTTCTAGGTGAAGAAATAAAGGCCCAGAGAAATTAGTGACTTGCCCAAGGTCACTGCTATTACTAAATGAAAATGTTGGGTTTCATTATTAGACAGTTTACTTCCAATGCCTGTGCTCTTAATCAGGATTGTTATTGCTAAGTGCTGTCGAGTCAGTTCCAACCCATGGCAACCCTATATAGAGTTTCTAAGGAGCGGCTGGTAAGCTTGAACTTCCAAACTTGCAGGTCAAACCTACTTTTGCAGTCCAGCATTAACCCACACCACCACACCAGGACTCCAGGATATTTATTATCACAAGAAAATTTCAAGTTAGTTTACTTTTGTCTGGCGCAAGGTCAGCAGTTCAAATCCACCAGCTATTCTGAGGGAGAAAGATGAGGCCTTCTAATCCCTTAAAGATTTATAGCCTCAGATACCGTGAACCAACAGAATAACACATAATAACAACAAGAGCATAGAAGAAAAAAAAAAAAACATGTTAAAATGCTAAGAGAGGAGAAAGAAAAATAAATGCTTGCATTTGTGGCGTGCCAAGTAATAGATAGAGAAAAAAGTTAAAAATAGAACTTAAAATGAATATATCACTTACTCTATGACAGATGATGAGTATGAGTGACCTAGGTTGCTAAATATGACTATTTTCCACCAGCATTAAGAGTTGGTTGTTAGCAAAGTTCTATCAGGAATGGTTTGTACTCTGTCTGATAACAGAAATTATCACCTCAGTTTTGGAAAAATACATTTTACTGCCTTTCTAGGTTCTTAGGTTGTTATCAAATGTCATAAACTGACGGGAGAGTTACAGTGGATTACTGGAATTCAAGGTTCTTAGTCAGTGCTTAGGTTTTGGGAGTACCCTGGTAGCTGATTCAGTGAAGTCTACTTTTTGGTCTATAGTTTTGGTTTAGAAATCTATGAAACAAGAAAATCTGCAAAAACTTCTCTTTGGCCTTTGCATGTGTGTTTAACACAACAAACAGTTTCCATGAATAATATTTTCAAAGACCAAATCCCATCTAGTCCAGTATTTTCTCTCTGACTTTAGGACCAATGGATAGTTGGTGGAATATTTGTTTCTGGTAGAAACTAAGGCTGTACTTGAAATTATTGTTTACATTCACCACTTTAATGGTTTATTTGTCCTAATATATCTAAGTATAACTGTTTTTTTTCCCCAGGAAGGACAAACATAGTGCCCATGGAAAAGCTTGTGTCAGTCTCTGGGACCACTTGTTTTCTTTGTTTCATGATCTTCTCTAATCTGTTGCAGTGATTTGTCCAAGTGCCAAGAATGGTGGCCATCCTGACAATGGCTCTATGATCATTTTCTATGCCAACGACACGGGGGTCCAACAGTTTGAAAAGTGGTGGAATAAGTCCAAGACAGTGCCCTTTTACCTCATAGGGCTCCTCATGCCGCTGCTGAATTTCAAATCACCTTCATTTTTCTCAAAGTTTAATATCCTAGGTAAGCCAAGGCCCTGAGTTTGGAGACTCTGTATAAGAGAATTCATGCTGGAATCTGTGGAAAAATGACCTGACAGGTGGGAAACTTACTTTCCAGACCTGTTCATCTATGTTTAATGTATTCACTTAGCTTTTTAAATGTTTTTATGGAGTTTGACATTGAGAAAAATGTAATTGATCATTTCATGTACTTTTTTTTTTGAGACGCAAATTATTGGTTTTTCCGTTGTATCCTACTGAACAACTTATGACTGTTCCTCATTTCCAATTAGGGTAAGACTTGAGGATATCGACTAAATTTTCAGAAGAGATCTAAATTGGCTAACTTAGTGAATTCTCAACTCTAATAGTTAGAAACATTAAAATGCCTTAAGGAAAGTTTTAGGATATTTTTTCCTACAGTTTTTATTTGAGTATCACACAAAATCATCACCTAACTTTCAACCTATTAAGATAAGACTCAAGGATATTGACTAAATCTACAAAAAGAAGTTTTTGTCGATTTTCTTAGGTTTCATCGATTTCTGAACCAAGGAGGTCATTCTTTAGCTTCCTAGGTTTATTCTGCTTAGGTTCTCTTCCTCAGTACTTTTTCTTTCTTGCAGCAGGTATTGTTAAGTGCCTGCGAGTTGGCTCCGACTCAAAGCAACCCATTCTCGGGACAGTATTGCCTCTGTTTTCCAGAGATCACTGAAGGGCTATTTTGACCCTATCTTCTCTTACAACACTAAGCCCTCAGATGGCAGAGGGCATCCCACTCCCCTCCCCACCACCAGGAGTTCTGATGAAAATTCCTATCTGGTTAATTTAAGACAAGAGTATAATACAGAAGTCATTGATAAGCCCAAATAGACCATAGGCTTTCAACTCCTCCCTATAGAGCTGGTCTCCTGGTAGGCAATCTAGAGTTAAAATATATATAAGATTATCCATTATATCACCAGGAGGTGACTTTTGGGGTTCCCAAAAAGTCTGTACTTCTCTGCCTCAAAACAGGATTCACTGCCATAAACTGCCATAGACACGCACACAAAAAATGATCTCTTGTTTTCATCTTTACTGAATCACCTAATCTCCAAACCCACAGTAGAGTTTATGTAGCACATTTGTGGTTTCATGGTTTGCTTGCCGACTTTCCTATGAAACATATCAACATATCTTTTTTAAGTTATCATGTAAAATTACAGAAAGATTTGCTCAGTTGAGGAAAACAACCACTAGATTTTCTCCAGGTTGATAATTCTCCAGCTCCTTAAAGATATTCTGCTTTTACCAGGAATTAGCATCTAAGAGGGGTCCTGAGTTTCCTGACTCGGCTCTAAAAATGACTGGATTTAATTCCTTAAAGGGAACAATCTTCTAACTAAAAATTTCTGAATAGCAGCTTTATCCTATCAATAAAGGGATTGGAATCTGGAATCTTTCCATCTAACATGTAGTACTACTCAATCAAAAACTTAGATGCTAAAGCAAATAGTTCATTGATTATTAGGTTTATTGGCTTTCTGAAATGTATTCCTGATTCACATTCATTACTTTTCTTTCTACACAAATAACCATGACTGTCTTCCAGGCCAGCACTTCAATATACAAAGAACAAAAGTCAGTTTCATGTAACCTTACAGCCTCTCAGTTTGTATCCTCCATTTAACTCAGCTCATAAGTAAATTAAGCTGTTTTGCATTTAGCAACATAATGAGATACCTTGATCTAGTTCATCTTAGGTCTACTACATAGTTTTGGGGGGGCTTCTTTTGTTTGTATTCTGATAACTCACTTAGCTTGTTTTCTAGAAAACAAGATCTTAGCTGGGTCTTAGTGGGATAATCAATGGATTCCGAAGGTAATAGTTTTCCACACTTTGTTGATTATGTGGAAATTAAGCTTGATTTTTTTTTTAAAGTCTGTAAAACACAGAAAGCTAATAAACTATTTCTGATTTTTTTTTTTTTTTCTCATAGGCACAGTATCTGTTCTTTATTTGATTTTCCTTGTCACCTTCAAGGCTGTTCGCTTGGGATTCCATCTGGAATTTCATTGGTTCACACCAACAGATTTTTTTGTACCAGGTAAGCTTTGTAGCCAAATAAAGAATAAATTACAATGTGATCTTTAAGTTAACCACTCTTATATGCTACTCTGTGAGCCCTGGTAGCATAGTGTGTTAAGAGTTGGGCTGCTAATTGCAAGGTCATTAGTTCAAATTTACCGGCCACTGTAAGGTAGAAAAATGAATAACAATTTTTTTTTTAATGCTGATCATGTTTATTAATACTGTTAATTAAGCCAAAAGCAGCGTAGCAGTTGAGATTACTTTGGTGTTCTTGAAGTTACAGGTAGACAGGACCCTTTGTCATTTCTACTTGGGAGTTGACATTCACTGAAGTTATATTGCAACTAGAAAGTCAACAACCCATTCTCTGAATAAACATAACCCTAGAATCTCAGAGACTTAGAAAATAGTCAGTGTTTAATATAAGCAAATAATAACTACTCATTAACGTCATTCAGTTGCTGGAGAAGGATATCATGTTTGGTAAGGTAGAGGGTCAGAGAAAAAGAGGAAGATCCCCAACGAGATTGATTGGCCGGGTGGTGGCATCGATGGACTCAGGCTTGTTAACAGTAGTGAGGTTGGCCCAGGATGGGCAGTGTTTCGGTCTGCTGTGCATAGGGTCACTATAAGTCAGTGCCGACTTGATGGCACCTAACAACAACAACAACATCATTCAGGCTAATTAAGATTACAACTACTAAATGTCTCTTCTCTCCCCTTTTTTCCTAATGGTTATAACTTGGCAATTTCTTCAGTGTCACCCAAGTTAAGGAGTAGTTTGAACATAATAAAAGTACTATGAGCAAAAGATGCCAAATAAGAAGACTTGGTCAAGTGGAGGGTCAGCAAAAAAGAGGACAATTAGAAAATGAATGTGACTAATAAACTAGTGTCTTGAAACTAATAATGAGAAAGTAGTACAAAAATTCTGTTGTTGATTTAGGAAGACTGCTTCCTTTCTATTCTTCAGTTATTGATTAAAGCAGTAGAGAATTCCAAGTCTCTTTTTAGTATGGACTCAAACAAATTGTGCAGATAACTTAAGACTGGGCAGTGTTTCATTCTGTTGTGCATAGGGTTGCTATGAGTAAGAATCGACTCATTGGCACCTAACAAGAGCAACAACTTAAGTATCTGCTGTTACTCTTTAAATGTGCCCTGGTGACACATTGATTAAATGCTCAGGTGCTAGCTTGATAGATCTGTGGTTCAAACCCAGCAGCAGCTACATGGGAGAAAGATATATGGCAGTCAGCTTCTGCAAAGAATTGTTGTTGTTATTTAGTGCTGCTGAGTCGGTTTCAACTCATAGCAACCCTGTATAGGATTTCCAAGAAGTGACTGGTAAGTTTGAACCAACGACCTTGTGGTTCAAACCAACCTTGCAGTCCAGTGCTTTATCCTACAGCACCACACCTGGCCTCCCTTGGAAAATGTATGGGGCACTTCTACTCTGCCCTGTATGCTCACCGAGTCAGAACTGACTCAGTGTGTTTGGATTTGGTTTGATTACTCTCCAAAAAGTTTGTACAGGTTTCCCCACTATCTGAAAGTAGAGCATTCCTATGAAAAAAAAAAGAAGACCCTCTATGAGGTGATTGACACAGGGGCTGCAATAGTGGGCTCAAGCATTGCTACAACTTTGAGGATGGTAGTGGACCAGGCAGTGTTTTGTTCTGTTGTGCATGGGGTTGCTTTGAGTTGAAACTGACTCACTGGCTAGCACCTAACAGCAATAACATGAAACATTTCATAAGCCTAAATGGCATAGAGCAAAGAAACAATTACCATTCATTTGTATGGCAAACTTTTGAGCATTCTTCTCAGACTCAAAAAATAACCTACCAAATCATACCAAATAGCACATCAAACCTAAAACAACACTAGCATATAGTGTTCATAGAAGCAGTTCAAAGGTGTGAGGTCTTGATAGTGAGATCCTGAGTGTAATTTACAGATAAGGATCTCGGTGACACCACTCTTGCTGCTCAGGCTGTGTACTGCCTCTTTAAAACAAACACAGAACGCTAGTTTTGCCTTTCACTTACTGTCTTTTTATCTTTGTCTTTCTTTCTTCCCTTCTTTCTTTGATACTTTTAAATTGTGAATCGAGTGCAGGTTTACAGAGCAGATCGTCAATTTTACATTCAACAAATCATACACTTTGTTTTCATCTCAATGATTACAATCCCCTCCATGTAACAACATTTATCCCGCTTCCTCTCTGAGATTATTTTCATTCCACTCTTTCCCAACCCTTCTGAACTTTGTCCTTAGGTAAATGTTGCCCCTTTTTAATTGAATGGCTGACCAATTCCATGGTGGTGGTTGTTGTTGTTGTTAAGTGCCGTCAAGTCAGTTCCAACCCATAACAACCCTGTATAGGGTTTCCGAGGAGCAACTGGTGATATTGAACCACCAACCTTTCAGTTCAAACAGCTTTTCAGTCTGGCGCATTCACCCACAGCGCCACACCAGGACTCCTTATTAGTGTTGTTGTCCCACTTAATACCTAACACTTGGTCAAGTGGAGGGTCATCGAAAAAGAGGAAGATCCCCAGCGACATGAATTGGCACGGTAGCAGCAGCAATGGGCTCATGCATAACAACAATTATGGGGACGGTGTTTTGTTCTGTTGTGCATAAGGTTGCTATGAGTCAGAACCAAGTTGCTGGCACCTAACAATGATAACAAATATACCTATTTACCACTTGGCTGAAAATTGGGTCACATGGGTAATGAGTTTCATTCCAGGTCTGAAAGGTAGCTGATGTTCATCTTTTTTCTTAAAAGTGAAAATTCTGTTCGGAATTCTTTTGGCTAGTGAAACCAGGTAGGTCTTTTGTAAAAGTGAAGCTGCAGAAAGTGAACTTTAGAAAAGTGGAAATAGCTGCCTTTGTATTTGTTTACAATTTTTTGTTTCTTTTGTTGCAATATTCCTGGATTTTCCAAGCATTATCGAGTTACTAGACATTGGGAGTTGTTTATTTTACAATGTCTGCTTGTTTTGATGGTGTGGGTTAATGCGCTAGACTGCAACGTTGATTTGAACAAAAAGGTTAGTGGTTCAGGCTCACCAGCCACTCCTTGGAAACCCTGTACAGGATCTCTATGTGTCAGAATCAGAACCGACTCAGCAGCACTTAACAACAACAACTTGTTTTCAACGATTTTGACTGTATTAGCTTTGATGTTTTGTTACAATTAGAAACCCACAAAGACACAAAAGTTAATGTAAATTCAGGATAAAGAAAATGCTGGCACTTGAAAGGCATGCTTCCTCTCAGATTGTATTTAAAATTAGACACTCATAAAAAATGTCAGCTTTAAGCTGTTCCCCCCATTGATGAATAAAAATAGTCTATGATACAATTTTCTAAAATTAGGTCCATTGTGATTTATATAGAGTGCTAAAAGTCTAATGATAGGACATTAGAGGACAGTTTATTTCACTTTGCTTCATTTTTAAATGATAGAAAGGAGCATCATAAGGACTAAAAGAAGCTTGTACTGATATTTATGTTGTTGAATTAATTCTGTCTTATTATGGAAGATTTTCAAGAAATGAAAATATATCATAAATCTTCTTCTAAACACTAATTAAGAAGTCCTGGTGTGGAGTCATAGGATAAGCACTTGACCTCAAGGTCGGTTTGAGCCGCAAGGTCAGTGGTTAAGACTCACCAGTTGCTCCTCGGAAACCCTGTGCAGGGTCATGAGTAGGAACCAACTGTACAGCACATAACAGCAAGAACAATTAAGAATCAGAGAATTTTGGAGGGTAATGAAACTTTACTATCCTGATGAAAACATCACATAAGCATGTATTTCTGATTGAGTCTTCATTTGTATACTCTTGTTTCTAAATAGTTCTTCGTAATTCAGTAGATCCCGTCACCTTTTCCCCCAGATAATACTTGTTCCCAGGAAAAATAATGAGATTGAACCTATATATCCACTTTATTCCATCCTTTCTTGTCAACTCAAGGAGTTTACTTTTGAGTTATCCCTTCTCCTTAATCATGTATCATCAACTTTTACCTCTATTGAATTATTCCTACCAGTAAAACAAATCTATCTCCCAATCTAAAAAAAAAAAAAAATTCCTATGTGACCTCATATCCCACTGTAGCGATTGCCTTTTTCCTTCCCTCTAAAGAAAATGGAAAGAGTTGTCTGTGTTCACTGTCTCCACTACTTCTATTTTGCCTTGAACTCACTTTTTTCAGGCCTTGTTCCAGTCACTGTGATTCCTTCTTACCGTTTCCACCGATGAAAACAATCTCACCTGGATTCTTGTGATGCTTCCTAACTAGTCTTGCTGTATCCACTGTATCCCCTGTTCTCTGCTTAGCAGCCAGAGTGATGTTTTTCAAACACAACAGTCAAAAGCATCTTGTTTGCCTACCTCATTAAGAAGTATGGAAAGACTTAATCTTGCTCTACAGGGCCTTACATGCTCTGGTTCATAGCTGTCTCTCAGGTATCATCTACTACTTTCCCTCTTTTCAGAAGTCTTATTAGAGCCTGCCTCAAAGCAGGATTCATAGTAGAACTGCTGCAATCAAATACGAAAAAAGAAGAAGACAAAGATGAGTTGAGAGGTGCTATAGCCTCATTTATTCACAAGCTGAATCAATAATACTTAGAAAAGCCATGATGCTAACCCTATCAGAGCCTTAGGAGATAACCAGTACACTGCTTAGATAGTATTTCACAGCTGTATAATCAGCAATCTAACACTCAAATTCTATCTAATTACTTGCTTTCTCAGACTGCTAGTACCAGCTAGGCCAGTTCGGGTCCTCCAGTCCAAAGACACCAAAATAGAGTTAGTTAGAAATGCACAAGATGAAGTGGGAAAGCACTTATAAAAGATAAAGCAGAGAAGGAGCAGGTGACAGGAGCTACATCAGACCATGATGTAGCTCAAACAGTTATGAAAGGAGAAAGGCAAAGAAGGAGGTTTGGATAGAAATGGATTCAGAAAGTCTCGGCGAGTGAAATGGGGA